GCACGGTCACAGCGCTACGGCGGTTCAGTGTGAAACATGGTCGTAAATCACTTTTTAAAATGCCATTGTAACCTCAAATGGTCAGTGAATGAAGGGTTGTAGCAATAGCAATAGCGCTTAGACTTATATACAGCTTCACAGTGCTTTACAGCCCTAAGTGGTTTACAGAGTCAGCTTATTGCCCCCATCTGGGTTCATTCAATCTGTCTGTCTGTCTATCCTATCATCTATAAATCACTCAATCTATCCTCATCTATCTATCCTCATCTATCTAATCTAATCTATCTATCATCTATCTATCTATCTATCTATCTATCTATCTATCTATCTATCTATCTATCATCTATCTATCTATCATCTATCTATCTATCTATCTATCTATCATCTATCTATCTATCTATCTATCTATCATCTATCTATCTATCATCTATCTATCTATCTATCTATCTATCTATCTATCTATCTATCTATCTATCTATCTATCTATCTATCCAACTCATCTATTTATCCTATTTCATCGATCTATCCATATCTATTTATCTATCTTCCAGCTTGTCTATATATTCTTATATATCTGTATGTATCTATCATCCGCCCATCTCTCTCTATCTATCCTATCTCTCAATCATCTGCCTGCCTACCTACTCTATCATCTACCAATCTATCAATCTACCTACCTACTTGCCATCGCAATAGCAATCTGGCTTCATTCAATCTGTCTGTCTGTCCTATCATCTATCAATCAATCAATCAATCTATCCTCATCTATCTAATCTTATCTATCTATATCTATCCTATCTCATCTATCCTATTTTTCTGTCATATTGTCTATCATCTATCTATCTATCTATCTATCTATCTATCTATCTATCTATCTATCTATGCTATCTCATCTATTTATCTATCCATCCTACCTCATCTATCACTCTACCTACCTATCTACCATCGCAATAGCGCTTAGAGTCTAGACTCATATATCACTCCATAGTGCTTTTATGGCCCCCTCTAACCAGTTTACTAAAGTAGCATGTTGAGGATCGAACTCCTGGCAATGGGCAGAATTAGCGTGCAATACCGCATCCTAACCACCGCCCACCAGGGCTGAGAAACCTGTACTTCAAATGGACAAGGCCCAGGGGAGTAGGTTACCTCTGAAGGATGGCTCTCAGCTTGTCGCCAATCCCAACCAACATGACTTCTTTCCCTGAACCCGTGAGGTTGGAGAACTGATGCTTCATCTCTTTAGCTACGGAGGTGTGAATGGCCCCACACAGGCCACGATCAGAAGACACCCCAACAAGGAGATGCTTTTTCTTGTCCTCAGGGGGTTTGATGTCTACTTTCTCGTAGAGAGCTACAAAAAGAAAGAAAGGACTGTTAACGATGAGCAACTATCGGAAGGCCCAGATATCAAAACTATGAAAGCCTCTCAGATGACTTTGGGCCAATCACTGGGAGACGGTGAGTTCTAGTCCCGCCTTCACCAGGAAAGCCAGAGAGGTGACTTTGAGCCAATCACTTTCCCTCAGCCCAACTCAGCTCACATGACTGTTGTTGGGGAAAAAATAGGAAGAGGAAAGTGTGCTGGATATGTTCACTGCCTTGAGTTATTTGCAAAAATAATAAAGACGGGATATAAATAAATAAAGGACAGTAAAAGGAAGGAAGGAAGGAAGGAAGGAAGGAAGGAAGGAAGGAAGGAAGGAAGGAAGGAAATAAAGAACAGTGCTTATGCCAAGAAAGGAGATTTACTGCCCATATTGTTTGTGTACACATGCAAACATTTGCTTGAAATATCCAGAATAACAATAGTTTTCCAAGTTATTGTAAAACCTTCTTTTAATGAACCACTAAGAGAGGTGAGTATTTTTTGCTCCCAAATGTTGTTTCATGCCAAATGGACTTTTTTAAAAAAATTAGTGTGCATTCAAAGTGACAATAATGTTATTAGTCTGTTCTATTCTATTTTGCAGCAAGTGGTTTCATTTGCAAAAGATGTCCTATTCATCCATTTATATAATTGACATCACATTACACAACAGCATCATTCAAGGCACCAAGATTATAAAAATGACCCAACCATAAATTGACAGAAATATAGAACTGCCTCCTCTGGATTACACTTAACAACTGTCTTTGGAGCTCAATTATGTCGTAAGTCGAGGACTACTTGAAACAGGGTCGTTGGAAACAACTCATTCAAAAGTTCTAGGTCAGAAATGTGCCAGGAAATCATTTCAGTCTTTAAGACGTTGTCAGCTACAAAGGAAACAGCCCCTTACCCAATGCTCCCACGCCGTAAACTCTGGCAGGCTTTAATTCTCTCTCCGCCCTGGAATATTTCGCAGCGGCAACCATTTTCATGGATTTCGTGATTTTCTGGATATTCTTGATAGACTTCAAGCGCCGGGTAACTGTATGGGTTAGAGGATATGAACAGGTAGGATTTTAAGCAGACGAGGCAGAATGAAACAAACAGTAGAATCAACTATAAAGTACTAGCTTCTTAAAAGGGAACTTTAAAAAGAAGGTGCAGTCATGATTTCAGAGCATCTCAGACAAATAAATATAACATGGAATGCTTACTGTCTTTCAGAGTCGCCATGTTCCTAACTTGGATCCTGAAAAAAAACAAAAAGCAAGACATGTTGGCTTATTTCATACACTGAATGTGCTTCGTTTGGTTACTCAAGTAACAAAAATACAGAACAGCTGCAATAGATCATTCATTTTCTAAAGGATGTTTACTTGGCTATATAATTTCTGAACGGGAACTCAAGCTCGCTTCTCAATAAGTGCATTAAAATTCAAGATAGAGATCTGATATTCCAAGCTACAAAAAAAAGGGGGGGGGGACATGTTTGTGGCAATCCTTTCCTAAATATTCCATGAGCCTGTGCTGTCTTGCATTTCAAACTGAAGCGCACATGGGTCTTATAGCCTGCATTTTTTTTTTTCTGGAAATCAGTTTGTATTCCCACATCATTCAAAGGGTGTTCATCCCAAAGGGCATCGCTAAAAGTTTATGGAGATTTTCAGTCCTTGTTTTTTTTCCCCCTCCCCCCTCATTCCAATCAGAGCTGAAGAAGCTTCTCGGATGAGAAGCAAAACATCTTCAAAAGGGGGGAGGGGGGAACCAAGGAAGTCCAGTTGCCTCCTGAAAAAAAGGACCTTTGGTACAACCACGACCTGGATGACTGAGAATTTCCAAGGACAGGGACTACCCACCCCACTGATCCAGTTCTACAGAGGAATGGCTGAGTCTGTCATCTGCACCTCTATAACTGTCTGGTTTGGCACTGCAACCCAACAAGACTTCAGAGGATAATTAGAACTGCAGAAAAAACAATTGCTACCAACCTGCCTTCCATGGAGGACCTGTAAACTGCACAAGTCAAAAAGAGGGCTGTGAAAATATCTACAGACCCCTCACATCCCAAACATAAACTGTTTCAACTCCTACTCTCAAAACACTATAGAGCACTGCACACCAGAACAACTAGATATAAGGACATTTTTTTCCAGAATGCCATCACTCTGCTAAACAAATAATTCCCTCAACACTGTCCAATTATTTACAAAGTCTGCACTACTATTACTATTAACCTTCTCATCACTCCTTATAACCCATCCTCTCCCACTTGTGACTGTATGACTGTAACTTTGTTGCATGTATCCTTACAATCTATATTGACCATTTCCTAGTATGATTTGATTGCTTACTGTACCTTATGACTATTATTAAGTGTTGTATCTAATGATTCTTGACTTTTGATGAATGTATCTTTTCTTTTATGTATGAGCATTTGCACCAAGACAAATTCCTTGTGTGTCCAATCACACTTGGCCAATAAAGAATTCTATTCTATTCTACTCTACCCTATTCCATTCCATATTTTCTATTCTATTCTATTGTTTCTATTCTATCAATGAATCAATTAATCAATCAATCATACAGAGCAAGGTACACAGGAGGTAAGTTAGAATTAAATTTAGAGTTAGAATTAAGTTAAAGTTAAAACCATGAAAAATCAATGGCTGAGGCAACCAGATCAGGTAAGATCAGATTCCCAGTGCATGCAAAAAAACCCAAAAAACTAACTTTTATAACTGAGCCTCTTATGTTGTAGGGTCACGGATTCCCTGGAGCTCCCATGCTGCTTGGACTCCAGCACCCATCAGCCACTGCCCCCAAAGGCATGGGCCAGGGATGATGGGCTTCCAGCCACGTGAAAAGAAATCCCAGGGAAACTCAAAGTAGCTGTCAGTCTCTGGCCAGCTGGCTTCCCCCCCACACCCCGCCCATAAGACCTTAAGGGAGGCGAGAGCGCCTTTGAGCATGTGCAGAAAGCCTCCCGCTCCTCGACCCTCTACGGCCGCTCCCCATCCCCCGAAGTACCCCCGCGGCTGGGCCTGGGCACCGGCAAGAAGATCAACAGCAACGCCGCCGACCCCGGCTCCTTCCTGCAGTCTCGTCCGACCGTCCACCGGCTGCAGCCGCTGCTGAAGGTCAGGGCGCCCGCACCACGCATGCGTCGCGCTTCCTCGCCTGAACCGGGCGCAGGAAGCGAAAAAGGAAGAGCTGTGACGTCTTCCGGGTGGACCGTCTCTCTCTTCCCCCCCCCTCGCAGTCCTCTCTATGGTTGCTCGGACACTGAGCTGGCCGGCTAGAGCGGGCAGCACCTAAGCGGCGCGCGGCGCTCCTCCAAAGGGGACTGTCCACAAAGCTGGCATGCTAGAGCGACCCCTAATTGAATTGACGCAAGACAGATTAAAAATAGATACTTTAAGCGACTCCTAACTTGGTTGACGCACAGATATAGTAAAAATAGATACTTTCCATGTTTAATTAAGAGTTCACCGGCCGGGATGGACTCTACAAAGCATAGAATTTTAATTTCCCGGTCCTAAAGGCCATTCTCCGGGAGAGCTAAAGCCCTCCTCAACAAGGACGACTTCCTGTTACAACATTTCCGTTTCCTGTCATCCCTTCCGGCGCCTCTCAGAGTGCGGAAGTGAGGGTCGCGGTCGCCGGTTTCGTGCCTCGTCGCTCCTTCGCGGTCCTCGCCATGGGGAAGACGGACTTCTTGAGCCCCAAGGCCATCGCCAACCGCATCAAGTCGAAGGGGCTGCAGAAGCTGCGCTGGTATTGCCAGATGTGCCAGAAGCAGTGCAGGGACGAGGTAAAAAGCGAGCCTCCAGGGGCAGGGGCAGTATGTCTGGGCGCCCTGAAAGAAACCCTCCACTCGGGGTGCCTTTTCCCTCCTCAGCCACGGATCTCTTTCGGATTTAGGTTGACTCTTCGCCTGTCTTTGGGTGATTTTGCTCCACCATGAAGTTAGAATCAGAATAGAGCTGAAAGGGACCTTGGAGGTCATCTAGTCCAACCCTCTGCTCAAGCAGGAGACTCTCCCATTTCAGACAAGTGACTGTCCAGTCTCTTCTTGAAAGCCTCCAGGGATGAAGCACCCACAACTGCTGAGTGCAAGTTGTTCCACGTGTTAATTGTCCTCGCTGTTAGGAAGTTTCTCCTTAATTCTAATTTGTTTCTCTCCTTGATTAGTTTCCATCCGTTGCTTCTGCCTTGTGGTGCTTTGGAAAACAAGTTGACCCCATCTTCTTTGTGGCAGCCCCTCAAATACTGGAATGCTGTTATCATGTCCCCGCTATTCCTTCTTTTCTCTAGACTAGCCAAACCCAAATCCTGTAACTGTTCTTCGTATGTTTTAGCCTACAGGCTTTTAATCATCTTAGTTGCTCTTCTTTAGAGAACAACACAACACAAAGGGATCTTGGAGATCTTCTTGTCCAACCCCCTATATCATTTCAGACAAGGGCCATCCAGTCTGTTCTTAAAACCCTCCAGTGATGAAACAGGTTTCATTTTCCAGGTTTTGTCACTGTGATTGTTCATCTGAGTCGCGGACAATATAATAGGAGAGTACAATACAATACAAATAATACAATACAACATGAAGAGATCCCAAAGATGCTTTTTTCAAGAGGCAACTGGACTTTCTGGGGTTTTTTGAAGTCGTTTTGCTTCTCATCCAAGAAGCTTTTTCAGCTCTGGCTGGATGGTGGGGAATGGAAGGGTTTATATTCCTTGCAGACAGCTGGTCATTTGCATTCTTTTTAGGGAGTGGTTGAGGCCACTTGGGGTTTATCAGTGTCCTCAGGGACACCTGAGTGGTGCTAATCGTTCCTGTAGTCTCTGAAGAAGCTTCTTGGATGAGAAGTGAAACGTCTTCAAGGAAAGTCCAGTTGTCTCTTGAAAAAGCACCTTTGGGACAACCATGACCTGGATGACTGAGAATCTCTACAGATATGGTATCCTGAGGCAAAACTTCAAAACAGAGTTGCATCTAAACTATACACAAATTAGGATTGTAGGATATGCTCCATGAAGGGATCTTGGAGGTCTTCTAGTCCAATCCCTACACCATTTCAGGCAAATGGCTGTGCCAGTCTCTTCTTAAAACCCTCTAGTGATGAAGCAGGTTGCGTTTTTCAGGTTTCATCACTGGTTTTTCAACTGAGTCTTGGACAATATGTCTTTTTGCATTCTTAGCGAGATTGAGATCCTTTTCATTAAACCACTTGTATTAAACCACCATTTTTCAAACTTGCCCACTTTAAGATGAGTGGACTTCAATTCCCAGAATTCCCCAGAAGAAGCCATGTTGGCTAGGAAATTCTGGGAGTTGAAATCCACCCATTCTAAAGTGGTCAAGTTAGAAAAAGACAGTGTTAGACCAAAGACTCCCCATCAGTTTGAAACTGATGATAAATAGAATGGAATAGAATAACAGAGTTGGAATGGACCTTGGAGATCTCAAGATGCTTATGTCTGAATGGATTCATTTTCTGGGATTCTGCAATGCACCGGACAGTAAACCCAGGTTCACGGTGTGGCTTTGGTACCACATTCTGGGATACAAAACACTTAATTTGTTGGCTGGATACTGGTATTAGATCTTTAGCTGGCAAAGCTAAATGTGTTACGTGAAGAAGAACGAAAGGCTAGATTGAATTTAAATAAGTTTGGCTTATTTAATTAATTAGGCTAGTTGACTTCAGCAAGCAACCAAAACTAATATCTGGCCATTGTAAAAGGTTGCTACTTTGGATGTATCTAGGATTGCTGCCATGTTTGGGGGTAAATTTCTTGTTCTTTTGGTAGTTCCTTGCCAGCTGCATTATTTTGTCTCCATTATGGTTTTTTAAAAAAATGTTTTAGCTACTCTTAATACCTCTTCGAAGTTTGCTAAGGAATTTTGACTTTATTTTGTTTCTTGCCTTGTTTTTTTTCCCCAGAATGGCTTTAAATGTCACTGCATGTCTGAATCTCACCAGCGACAACTGCTCCTGGCATCTGAAAACCCTCAGCAGTTTATGGATTACTTTTCAGAGTAAGTTTAGCCTATAACTTGACATTGCGTTTCACGATCTGCTTCTGCTGAAACTTGGGCAGGATCATGGCTGCCGTATATGAGCTTGTAAATATGAGACAGTTGAGAAGCGCCTCACGCGCTTGTAGTTATTTATCCAGACAAATTGTAGAACCTTCTCGGTGTAGGAGTAGGAGAGGGTGGTTTTAAATCAGGCTTAGTGAAGGCTCTCCTCAAGGCTACCGTGTTTCCCCCAAAATAAGACCCTGTCTTATATTTTTTTGCCACCCAAAAAGGCACCAGGTCTTATTTTCAGGAGTTGTCATCCACTGACTAACCTCACTCGTGCGCGTTGCCCCCAGCCTCCTTTTCTCTGTCAGAGGCCTTCAGGAACTTCTTCTTCTGCAGCCGGCAAGGCTTTCCTGAAGGCCTCTGCAGCCGATAACAAGAGCTCTGGATCGATCCAGAGCTTTGTTATCAGCTCCAGAGGCCTTCAGCTGCAGAAGAAATGGGCTGGCAAGGCAGATGTCGGGGTGCGCGAGGCCTGGCTACAACTGTCCAAAGGTAAGTAGTAGGGCAGCTCCACCCCTCCATCCCCACACCAGCTTAATTTTTACCCGTCCACTCTGGAGTGGGTGGGATCTTAATTAGGGCTTATTTGGGGGGTAGGGAATTGGGCACACATGTAAAAAAAAATCAAGCTAGGACTTACTTTCAGGGTAGGTTGTATTTTCGGGGAAACGGGGTAATACATTGTCCACGTGACATCAGGAAGGGCATCTGGCCAGTAAACGCTCATCTCCATCCAGTCACCCCGACTCTACCCTGAATTAAGGGATCATGGGGTTGTAAAAAGGAAGTTTTTACTTGTAACTGTCATGGTATCTGAGAAAGATCGTGAGAGATGGTTAAGAAATGTTGACAGGGAGTTAAAGGCTATCATGGCATCATGGATGGAGAAAGAGGTTCAGACGATACCCTCCCTTGTTTCCCAGGCTATAAAGGAGCCGGGAGGGGGAGAGAATTGTATTATACTGTATTATATTTCAGACTCGCAAGATTCTGTAACGTAGCCTTATTATAAAGTAGAATTATCTGATCCGGTCATGCTTTCTGTCTGATTTATCTAGTAAGGCTGACGGTAACACGCTTTCTTTCATATTCCTCTAGGGAATTCCGGAATGATTTCCTAGAACTTCTCCGGAGAAGATTCGGTAAAATTTTGTTGTTTGTTTGTTCATATTACCCGTGTTTCTCACATAATAAGGCCGGGTCTTTTTTTTTTTTTTTTTTTGAGCCCCGAAAAAACGGCTAGGCCGTCTTTTTGGGGGTGACTTAATTCCGCCCCCCTTGCATCTTAGGGCGGGCGGCGATGGCTTGGATGTTGACCTGGGCGTTGGTGGGGCACTTTGTATCAGGGTCAACACAGGCAGCACCATATCCGGGTGTGCAACAAAAATACTTCCTAACAGCAAGCCCTCCCCCCTGGGCCATTTCCCCCCCATTTGGCATGTTTTAATATAGGCCTTAATTTGGGGGGAAGGGCTTAATTTCATTTCATGCCTATAAAACATGCTGGGACTTCCTATTGGGGGAGGCCGTATTGTTGGAGAAACAGGGTAGATTTGGAGACTAGCAGTAGCATTTAGCCTTGTATTACAGTGGTGAAATGCTACCGGTTGGCCGAACTGATAGTTAAAAAAGCCTCCGACAATCAGCCAAAAGGAGAAAGATCGCACGCGATCACCAAACCGTTAGGGCAGGGGTGTCCAACCTTGGCAACTTTAAGACTTGTGGACTTCAACTCCCAGAATTGCTGGCTGAGGAATTCTGGGAGTTGAAGTCCACAAGTCTTAAAGTTGCCAAGGTTGGACACCCCTGCGTTAGGGGAACTGGTAGAATCCCACCACTGCTTATATACCACCACTCTATAGCTTTAGAGCGCTCTCTGGGCAGTTTACTATGTAGAAGCCTTATTTGCATATTGCCCTGAACAACCTGGCTCCTCCTTTTACCGACCTCGGAAGGACGGAAGACCGAGTCAACCTTGAGCCCGTCAGTATCAAACTCCTGGCAGTGGGCAGAATTAGCCTGCAACAGTGGTCCCCAACCATCGGGCCCCAGACCGGTCCCGGTCCATGGAGCATTTTTTACCGGGCCGCAAAGAAGTGGGCACCGCCATCTTGTTTTGACGACGCTTGAGAAAGTGCTTCCGGGTGAGCTTGTCGGCCGTCGGTTGGAAAGCGGCGTTTGGGTGCTGAATCCTCGCGCCTTAGTTTCGTCGAGGGGGGGGGCGGCTTCGAACAAAGAGCCGTCCCGATGGCGGTGGAATCTCGCGTTAGGAGGAGATTAAGAAAGAGCCCGAAAAGCCCATCGACAAAGGTACAAAGGAGGAGTTGAAGGTGGCGGGGAGAAGCGGGGGACGGCTGGCTGGCCAGTCGCTCGGCTCGCCTTGCCTTGGTCGTGCATGCTGATGCCGGTACCGGTCCGTGGATCATTTTGTGATGCCGGTACTGGGCCGTGGGACAAAAAAGGTTGGGGGCCACTGGCCTGCAATACTGCACTTCAATCGCGGTGCCATCAAACTGAGTGGCTTAGGGGTGTTTTTTTTTTTTTTCAAGAGGCAATTGGACTTTCTGGTTTTTCTTAGAAGATGTTTCGCTTCTCGTCCGAGAAGCTTCTTCAACTCTGAGAGAGTTGCCTCTTGAAAAAGCACTTTTGGGACATCCATGACCTGAAAGACTGAAAGGATCTCCATAAACATAGAGCGTCTTAGAATAAAAACAAAGGGGGGAAAAAACCAACCTGAAATAGTAAAAATAATGTACATTCAAAAGTGGAAAAACTCCCAGATTGGGCATCCAACTAAATCCCAGGCCTGAAAGCTGAAATGTCAACTCATAAAATATTTCTATGGTCTTTTTAGAGTTGCCAACAAAAAGCGAGGGGAGAAAGGGGTTTTGAAAGAGCAGTGCGGCAGCTTGGAAATCAAAAGGGCATTCCATAAATAGTTTTTCAAAGATAGTAACTAGGTGACTGAAACTTCTGCCATGCAAAATTCTAACTGGAGAACATGATTGAAGACTCTTGGCTATGGAGGTGCCTCATTGGAGAATATGAATTATGATATACCCAGAGAGTGGGGGGAAACCAGGGTCAAGGGAGACAATGAATTATGTGTCTCAGAGTCAGCTACCACCCAGGCAGTGCCGGACATGTTAACTCCCAATAAATCCTTTTGAAGTTTTGGAAGTTTGGCTCGAGACTCATGATTTAAATGGGGGTAACTTCTGGAATCCTAACAGCTAGCCAACTCTCATAATTCATCATCAGACACATTTTAAAAACTTCTTTTAACAATTGTAAGGTGCCAATCTTTGGGAAGATGCTATTCTACACTTGGAAAAGCTGTGATAAAACAATGCTTCTTTAGTTCACTTGGAAATGTTTTAGCTAACTCCCAGCGTCAACTCATAAAACATTTTGTATACACGTTTTTTAGTTGACAACAGAAAGGCGTGGGGGGGGGGGAGTTTCAGAGCAGGCGGCAGTGTGGAATCGAAAGTACATTCCATTCATATTTTCTTCAAAGGCTGATTAGATGACTGAAGCTTCTGCTGCGCAAAAATCTAATTGGAGAGCATGATTGATGACTCTTGGCTATAGACATTGTTCGTTGGATGATACACCCAGAGGAGTTGGGGGAAAAACAGGATCTAGGGTGACAGTGAATTACGTATCTCAGAGTTGGCTACGCCCAGGTTAATGCCAGATGTAGAATGTTATAAATAAATCCTTTTTAGTTTTGTGAGTGTGGCTCGAGGCTCATGATTTAATTGGAGTAACTGCCAGAACCCTGACATCCAGCTTCTAATTAAGAATGGTGTTGTTTTTCTTCTTCTCCTAGGAACAAAGCGAGTCCATAACAATATTGTATATAATGAATATATCAGCCATCGGGAACACATCCATATGAATGCTACCCAGTGGGAAACTCTGACAGATTTTACAAAGTGGCTCGGGAGGGAAGGTAAGGCTGTCCTTGCATGGAGCCCCTCCTGGGAGGAATCGGAGTGCTGGAGGCAGTTGAGCCAGTCACTAAACAGAAGACCTTGCCGATAAAACGAGTTCAACCTTATCAATATCCCAATATTTTAACACTTGCTTTGTTTTAAATGCGTTGGGAGGCAGATGTAGGAGGGGTGGTCATTTGAATACCGCACAGGTAATCCTCAACTTATGATCACAATTGAACCTGGCATTTCAGTTGTTAAACGAGACATTTGTTTTGCCCTGTTTTTTACGACCCTTCTTGCCACAGTGGCTAAGTGAATCACTGCAGTTGATAAGCTCGTAACCTGATTGTGAAGTGAATCCGGCTTTCCCCATTGACGTTGCTTGTTGGAAGGTTGTAAAAGGTTATCACAGGGCCTTGGGGCACAGCGACAGTCATAAGTATGAACCAGTCCCCAAGGATCTGAATTTTGACCACATGACCCCGGGTTATGTGGGAAACTGCGAAAAGCGATCCTAAGTCCCTTTTTTCAGTGCTGTTGTAAGTTTGAACGGCCACTAAATGAACTGTTGTAAGTTGAGGAATACCTGTATTTGAGAATAGATGGAAGAATAGTACATTATAAGGGCTCCAATAGACTGGGGTTCCTAATCTTTTCTATACCTCGTGCCCCTAGAACGTGCCTCTGAAATATTCTCACACCCCTTATAAAAGTAAATAATTACAGGCATATAATTACCCTGTAAAATACGACCTACACTGAATGTAAGTCCTAGTTTGATTTTTTTTTAACACAGCCCAATATAAGCCCTATCCCCAAAATAAGCCCTAATTAAGACCCCACCCACTCCAGAGTGGACAGGTAAAAATTAAGTTATGGGGGGGGGGGGGGTGCTGCCCTATTACTTACCTTTGGACAGTTGTAGCCAGGCCTCACACACCCCGACACCTGCCTTGCCGGCCCATTTCTTCTGCAGCTGGCAAGGTGGGCAAGGCTTTCCTGAAGGCCTCTGTAGCTGATAACAAAGCTCTGGATCGATCCAGAGCTCTGTTATCGGCTGCAGAGGCCTTCAGGAAAGCCTTGCCGGCCTCAGAAGAAGAAGTTCCTGAAGGTCTCGAAAAGGAGGCCGGGGGCAACACACACAATTGAGATTGGTCAGTGGATGACTTCCCCCGAAAATAAGACCTGGTGCCTTTTTTGGTGGCAAAAAAAATATAACAGGGTGTCTTATTTTGGGGGAAACACGGTATGCATATACACTATAATTTTGAAACTTCTAAACCCAAGTTTTTGCACCCCCTGGAATATCATCTCGCGCCCTCTAGTTGGGAACCCCTGCAATAGACGGTTGGGAAGCTTAAGAGGAATGAGGCCTACTTAGCACTTGGGGAGAGGAGCCTATCTAAGAGTTCAAGACTGTAGGCCAGAGTGCCCGTCAAAAAACATACCCAAGGTTGACTGGGGAATTGTGGGAATTGAAATCCACCCATCCTCAAGTTGGCCATTGGCAAGCAGCCTTCAATGCTGAGTCTCTTTCCTCATCAGGATCCTGAGGTTCATCAAAGGATATTCTTTAAAGGGGGCTTCCAGTTTTGGGGGCATAATTCCATAACAGTCATGCCCCAGTTGGAATCTGATTCAGGGGGGTGGTCGAGCAGCTGACAGGGAGTGGGTGGGTGTCTCCAGTGGCTGTGGAGGAAACTGGGGAAGGGCACAGTCTGGCTGGGCATTCAGAGGAAGACCCAGGCCCATCCCCTCTTCATCCTAGGGCACGCAGGGAGGAACGGAGAAGGGAGCAACGGGGGTTACGGGGGAGAAAAGGGCCCTGGTTCCCTTCATTAGCTGCAGTGGGGAAAACAGGATTTAAAAAGGGTGTTTGCACACAGCACCTTGCTGGAAGCAAAGCGTGAATTATCTTTGTTTGTCATGTCTTATATGGGTTTTGGCGTCCTCCCAACTGTGTGTTTCATTATCTTTTGAAGTCTGCAATTCCTTATCCTGCCCTGTCTCTTTAATTGCTGCAACATGGTTTGTGTTGGTTTTTATTTATAATCTATATGTACTTTGGGTTCGGACTGAATTTCTTCCCTTTAAAAACTGTTCTTGGGAGAGTATTTTTTCCTCCAGCCGATGATAACTGGACATTGGGGGCCAACTTAGAGATATTAAATGAACTTTACCTACTTTTGTGACTGTATTGCCTTTGTGCCACTCCCCTTTGAGTCATCACAATAACTCCCTTATTCCTCCCAGAAATGACGGTTCTAACCCTGGCAAATATGCTTCCTTAAGGCCTTTGCAAAGTCGATGAAACGCCCAAGGGCTGGTACATCCAGTACATTGACCGAGACCCCGAGACCATCCGTAGGCAGCAGGAACAGGAAAAGAAGAAAAAACAGGATTTGGACGATGAAGAAAAAACGGCCAGATTCATCGAACAGCAAGTCAGGAGGGGCTTGGAGGGAAAAGATCAGGTGAGGCAACCATCTTATAACGCCTCAGGAACCAAAGAGAAAAGGAACAGCCATTTTGATATTCCTTAGTTCGAAAATGTAATACAGGTTACAACTCGCAAGTCAGCCCAACATTTCTGTGGCTGAGCAGGACACTTGTTAAATTTGCCCCAGTTTATGACCTTCCCGGCCACAGTTGTTCAGTGGTGATTCACCACCGTTGTTAACTGAAGCTGACTTGCTTATTGACTTTGCTTGTCAGAAGGTCGCAAAAGGGGATCGCGTGGCCCCGGGATACTGCAACCAGCATAAGTACATGCCAGTTGCCAAGCATCTGAATTTTCATCACATGACCATGGGGATGTTGCAATGGTCATAAGTGTCAAAAACTCCCTTTTTTTCAGTGCTGTTGTAACTTTGAACAGCCATTAAACAAATGTGTTTGTAAGTTTAGGACTACCTGTACTATGTGGATGAGAGAGACGGGATCAGCAAAGTGGATCATCAAATACAATTAGTAGGATAATATGTCCCCCAAATTCTACAATTTATTTGTGTGTGTGTGTGTTCCTGCTATAAGTCAGACACTAGACTGTCCCACGACCCCTAGATTTATTCCCAAGAGTATTTGGTCTACCAAACTTTTCTTAATTTCTTCTGGATTGCAACAAAAGCCAACTCTAACTTTGTGCTTTCCTGTTGGGTTCACAAATCCTTAGACGGTTCTTTTCTGTCGTGGCAGGAACAGCCGATCTTCACAGAACTGAACAGAGAAAATGAGGAGGAAAAAGGTAAATCATTCCGTGTGGAAAATCTTCTATAAGGTTCACAGTCTAAGACTTGTGGAGACTTAATAATTCAAGGAGACAGCGAGTTCTAGTTCCACCTTAGGCATGAAAGCCGGTTGGATGACTTTAGGCCAATCACCAGGAGACAGTGAGTTCTAGTTCC